TCTCGCTTGGTAGGTTGCAGATATTTTCTCCTTGCGCCACCATAATACCTAAGTAGCATATAAGGAAGTAAAATATGAGGTTCTAAGAAAAGAAATAAACTGCATCAAGGAATATATCAAGGACATGAGGATAGAAAATTGTGGTGGAGACATGAAATGAAAGAAATTAATGAAATGATCTTCACTGCGTTATGAAGTAAAGAAAGTTTCGTTTTGCTTGACTCAATTTAGCGGTCTCGCGCCAACACAAGATGTTTGCCGAAGAATATGTCAAACACATTTTGTATTGTGTTGAACATATCCCCTTTTAGTTTACAAAAGGCTTAAAACGGACCGCAAAAGCTTAATGTTGCCTCTTCCTTTTGGGTCGTCAAAGCTATCATCCAGGTATTTAAAAGTGCCTTTCAATACATATCGTACCGGTGTATCAGTGACGAGGTGGTGCGGAAAACCTTTCTCGGGTGTGAAGTTAATGATCTGGGAATCTTTTAGTTACAAACCCTCGACCAATTCCTGGTGTTTAGTAACCTTGTTTAGATTATTTCCTGACCCCTGATAGAGGTCAAAAAATGACAGACCAACTCAAACGGACACTGCTGGCTTTAGTATGTCTTTACTTACCTCCAATGATAATGATGATGAAAACATCAACAAGANAAAAGGCTTAAAACGGACCGCAAAAGCTTAATGTTGCTTCTTACTTTTGGGTCTTAAAAGCTATCATCCAGGTATTCGAAAGTGCCTTTCAATACATATCGTACCGGTATATTAGTGACGAGGTGGTGGGGAAGACCTTTCTCGGGTGTGAAGTTAATGATTTGGGAATCTTTTAGTTAGAAACCCTCGACCAATTCCTGGTGTTTAGTCACCTTGTTTTGATTATTTCCTGACCCCTGATAGAAGTCAAAAAATGACAGACCAACTCAAACGGACACTGCTGGCTTTAGTATGTCTTTACTTACCTCCAATGATAATGATGATGAAAACATCAACAAGACTTGCTCTCTTGGCCATTTTTGCTACAATTTCGTTATCGAGTCCAACCTAACCGAAGTAAAATCGACTTACAAATAGCAATACACTTGTGTAATCTAAAATCTTAATTCTCTTAGAGTAATAATACGATACAATAAAAATCTATTTAACGCTCACCATTTAATTTATTTATTTTAAAAATATGGTAGTTTTTCTACAAAACGATAATATATTCAATATAATTTCTTGCATGCCATGGATGGCCAGCAAAATGTGCTAATTTTTACATGTTCAGTGGTAAGAAAAGCATGTGAACAATTGTCCAGACCATAAACAATAGAAGACAAAAATGGCCATAAAATGTCAAGATGTTGGTCATTCCACCAAGTGTATTGAAATTCACTAGATTTCTCCTCATATTATTGTATCCCTTCATACCTTCCATACCCCCTTACCAAGAAAAATACTTTTGAACTGTTATTTTTCAGTCTATAATCAGCCTTCTGGAGATGATGTTTTTTTAGTGGACCATAGTTGATAGCTGGGTCCTTTACCGACTATGAGTGGCCCGGACTATCCAATAAGCTTTCGACCAAAAGTTCGTGCACGGAATATATTTCTAAGTGAACCAGTTTTGTGTGTGGTTTGATTGGTTTTTGGTGTTAAGAGAACTATTGGCATGGTTTTGGGGGCTGCCACCCGCTAAGGCACTATGGAACTAAGGCACTATTAAACTAAGAACTAAGGCGCTGAGGTGTAAACTTTAACGTTTGTTTAATTAATTCGTTTCAATTCATTAATTAGTCTAGAGGCAAGGAAGTGGTGGGGGTGGGGTGGGAAAGGTACTTGATTATTAGTATAGTATTGGCATTATCGGACAATCTAGTCCATAATTTTAGCGTGCGTTGGTTACTCTACGTAAAACATGTTCCACCTACGCCGGTTGAGTATGAACATCGCAAAGCTAAATATTTGTTTTAGAAAAGCCCTTGCTCTCCTTTTGTTACTATTCTCTTTAGAACAAAACCACTTTGTTCTATAGGCATGCGCAGATCAGTTAGCGTTCGTGTATTTTATCAATCTCGTTCCGAGAGTCTTCGTTCCCCTTGACCAGCGGTCGGAAAACGACAGCTCTGGGAGCAACCATTTTGAAATAACCGAATTCTGGTGATTCTGCCCATCCGGTTTCACTGCGCAGTCTGCATCTATGGCGCATCCCTAAAATGGTTGCTCCTAGAGCTCTCGTTTCCCGACCGCTGGTCAAGGGGAACGAAGACTCTGGGAACGAGATTGGTATTTTATATATTGAAGGGGAGGATACATTGCATACGGGATGACACACACATGTTTTCGTTATGGTAGAACCCAACATGTAAGACGCATGCTTCTAGCATCGTTAGTGTTATATACTGTGTTTCCGCGTACTTTTAGTTTTATATGCCATGTAACCGAGGACGGCAGTTATTTTTCAATTAGCGACACTTCTCCCTTTTTAGAGCAAAACTGAAACGTTATCGTGGATGCGTATTTTTTAGACAGACCAAAACGTTCCCAAGTTAGTGGCTTTAATACTCAAATTGTAAATTTGTGACAAAAGAAACCAGGAAAGTGCTCAAATATTGCTGCAGACGCCGTATCATCTAATGAAAGCGCAAATTAATTTAATCAGTC